TTCCGAGTAGTGGGGAAAGTATAACCTTCCGCATTCATGGTGAAGTGTAGGAATGAGTTGCGGGTGCTGTCCACACCCAATGATACCCCAGTTACCGTAGAAAGGCAGTTGTAGATTCAGCTGAGGTCGTCTGGAAGCATGATATCGTGTGAACCGAGCACTAGGCAGGGTAACAACAAGTACCATCTTTTGGTATGACGAAGGTGGGAGTCTAACCACCGACCTTGGGCTCTCCCGGCAGACGCTCTATCCACTGGGCCACGGGTGCAGTCGTGTGGAAGAAAATAACTAGAACTCGTTTTGGCATTTTCACAGACAGGATTTAGCATGGGGACACACATGAGATGTTTCAGCCAGGCATGCGTCACATAGTGATGGATTCCTTTTAGGTAACTTGTTATAAAAATGTATATAAACGTTTTGGGGAATAAGAAAACATGAAAGGTTGAAGGAATATTGTTGAATATGTTTTAATAATGTATCAAGGACTATTGTGGTCAAAACACTGTCCACGTGGTCACTGCACTTAAGGATCAGATCGGGGTTAGAATTGGTCTTCGGCAACAAATGCTTGCCACGAGAGGCGACTAACGAGAACTGTGGTCAGGTCTTTTGCTGTTAGTTTCAAGTACCAGGTTTAGAGTGAGTGAGTTGTGTTTAACACCGCTTTTAACATTATTCCAGTCATATCACGGCGTTCCAGGTTTAGAAGTTTTCTAATAAATTAACTGATCAAGGTCTTTAACAACGCCTAATACCACACCAATCATAAAGCATGGAGTGGTTATCTACACAATTACATGTGAGGAGACACCGCTGGCCTTGTCATGTGCTGCAATTCATTGTTCATAGTCGTGTCCCTTAGGCATACTAGAAATCTGTGCCCTTGGGTTCGAATCCCAGATTTACCCTGATTTCTTTTCTAGTTTTGAGAGCACCATACCTGTACCTATGGGTTCACCAAACTGGTAAAAGTCTACGACCCACAACACAGATGAAGCTCATACATAGTGATATATAACTGAAACACTGTTCAAACTGATGTTAAACCTCACTCACTCACAAACACCACCTCCCGTGAAGATCAGGGTCTTCAGCAACCCATGCTTGCCGTAAAAGGTGACTATGCTTGTTGTAAGAGGCTACTAACAGGATCGGGTGGTCAGGCTCGCTGACTTGGTTGATGCATGTCCATGTTTATTGTCCATCAATATTATAATTAGCACAAACAAGTCTGAAATCAGTAGTACATATACGACAGTAGTATTCACTAAGGCTGGGACGAGTCCAAATTTACTACCCGGGTACTCGACACACTATTACCCGGCCCTTCCCGGATACCCGTTATAGGTCTCAAGAGTTGGGTATAAAATATCCGAATGGGAATTGTTTTATCACAGCCCTGGCAAAAACTATTTAGATACATGTATAAAACGATCTGACCATGCATACACTGCAGTTGATAGACGCTTTACCCTTACTCGAACATATAAAAGTCAGAACGAATGCTTGCATAGTGAGAAAGAAATGTGAACATTAGCTATACTTCATTGTTAATGTCATTACAGTATATATCACGTGACTAACCATGGGTCCGGGTAGTCATGTGGGTACCCTAGTTACCCGTCCCAGTCCTGGTAATTATCCTATATTATCTTCGTTAAGTGGCATCCTCCTATATTCTATAAAGACGGCTTCCACGCAGTAAAGAGGGACCACATGGTCGATCACAGTCATTATTTTTTGTGTGCAATAGGAGTGATAAAAACACTTAATTGACAAGGAACTACATCGTCAGTTTTAAAGCTATTCAGTTCATTGTTTTGTTATTTTGGTTTGGAGGGATGACAGTGTAGATTATGGATCCACTCTCAACTCAATACCGACCAGGGGACCTTTACTGGTAGCCTTCCCTTATTTACCCCAAAAGCAATGGGCGCTCGCATTATACACAAGGGCGATAACTCTCATTACTACGTACATAATCGTAGCATGCCTGTGAATAATATACACGATGTGGTCTATGAAGTATCACTAAATATCAACATATGGCGTGAAAACCAAAAGCAGTCTCTTTCAATCACAATGTCAGAGTAGGAAAACCGTACCCACGGTCATTATAAACAAGATGCATGTGTTATATAGCACACAAAAGTTGGGTCTAAACACCAACTGGAATAGCAGTGGTAACTCGACCTTATTGTTCCGGTGTAATATGTTTAGGCACTTTTGGCAAAATGTGCACTTCCATGCAAATATTGATTAATATTGGATGCTCACGTGCAGTTATTATAATTTATTGTCAATAAAATACCTGGACGACCGAGGTGCCTGGACATGGGTTACACACTACAACTGTCCGTGGTCATGTGGGCTCCATTCTGAGAAAGCTATGGTATGCTGGACTTCCCTGTGAAGAATGTGATCAGTAGATATAGGGGTGTATTTTGCTGGTCAGAATGTTCCGAGTAGTGGGGAAAGTATAACCTTCCGCATTCATGGTGAAGTGTAGGAATGAGTTGCGGGTGCTGTCCACACCCAATGATACCCCAGTTACCGTAGAAAGGCAGTTGTAGTGTCAGCTGAGGTCGTCTGGAAGCTTGATATCGTGTGAACCGAGCACTAGGCAGGGTAACAACAAGTACCATCTTTTAGTATGACGAAGGCGGGAGTCTAACCACCGACCTTGGGTTCTCCCGGCAGACACTCTATCCACTGGGCCACGGGTGCACTCGTGTGGAAGAACATAACTAGAACTCATTTAGTCATTTTCACAGACAGGATTTAGCATGGGGACACACATGAGATGTTTCAGCCAGGCATGCGTCACATAGTGATGGATTCCTTTTAGGTAACTTGTTATAAAAATGTATGTAAAAGTTTTGGGGAATAAGAAAACATGAAAGGTTGAAGGAATATTGTTGAATATGTTTTAATAATGTATCAAGGACTATTGTGGTCAAAACACTGTCCACGTGGTCACTGCACTTAAGGATCAGATCGGGGTTAGAATTGGTCTTCGGCAACAAATGCTTGCCGCGAGAGGCGACTAGGGAGATCGGTGGTCAGGTCTTTTGCTGTTAGTTTCAAGTACCAGGTTTTGAAGTTTTCTAATAATTTAACAGATAAAGGTCTTTAACAACGCCTAATACCATACCATTCATAAAGCATGGAGTGGTTATCTACACAATTACATGTGAGAAGACACCCCAGTGGCCTTGTCATGTGCTGCAATTCATTGTTCATAGTCAGGTCCCTCAGGCAATGGAAATCTGTCGATCCCAATTGTGTGGATCGATGCTCATGATATTAATCACTGGATTGTCTGGTCCAGACTTGATTATTTACAGACCGCCGTCATATAGCTGGAATATTGCTGAGTGCGGCGTTAAACAACAAACAAACAAACAAACGAACAAACTAGAAACCTATGACCTTGGGTTCGAATCCCATATTTACTCTGATTTCGTTTCTAGTTTTGACAGCACCTATGGGTTCACCAAATTGGTAAAAGTCTACGACCCACAACATACATAGTGATATATAACTGAAACACTGTTCAAACTGATGTTAAACCTCACTCACTCACAAACACCACTTCCCGTGAAGATCAGGGTCTTCAGCAACACATGCTTGCCATAAAAGGTGACTATGCTTGTCGTAAGAGGCGACTAACGGGATCGGGTGGTCAGACTCGCTGACTTGGTTGCTGAATGTCATATCTCAATTGTGTGGATCGTACTCATGATGTCACTCACTGGATTGTCTGGTCCAGACTTGATTATTCACTCACGGTCATATAGCTGGAAATTGCTGAGTTCAGCGTTAAACAACAAACAAAACAAAAACAAACTTTATAGCACAACTAGGACTGATAGGAACATTAGGAACATAGATACCCACATCTAGTGACTGTGCCCGTTGCTTTGTGTTCTGAAAATAATTTAGTCTGAACCAGACTCACCCAGAGTAGGAAAATGTGAGCAATGAACCTTTGTCTGCTTGTGTATGCTCATATATGATTGTGAATGTTTTAGTTGACCTGTGTACACTCTTCAGACTTCCCACTAGACAGACCAACAGCTCCTCCATGTGGAAGGAACTGGGAACAAGCAAGTTAATATTCCTATTTGTGAACCATGCAGGCACTTACAAAAGCCAAACTATAGAACAATGTAGTGTATATTTTGCGCCAAGTAACACCATAACCCTACCTATTAACCTGGACAAAAATAAAAAGTCTAAGAATTATTATATCCTGCATGTATCTAACCTGGAAGTTGAATATTCTAATTGTCTCCATTGATTCCTCTGACTGTGTGGACTTTGAAATTGCAAGGGATTCACATTATCAAACAGTAAATCTGAAAGATCTTTTCTCTGTGTAAGCAGAATCTCATCTAAAGCTACTAGAAAGAAATTGGTGTGTATCATAAATCTTAAATGTGAATGTGAATAATTAATTTGCTTGTTTTTTCAAATTGGTCTGATGCCTTTATGAACTGACATTATTGTAGGCTCTCTTCAGGAGGTTAAAGTACCGTGAACTAATTGTCCCCCTGTATGACACGTAATTCCTATCATAATGGATGTAACTATCATCAACCAGTGTTTTAAACCAACTCACCACGGAACATTTTTTTAATAGTGGCTAGTATTGTGCACAACCACCCGTAGCGTTGTAAATAATATTGTTATGATAAAATATGTTTGACAAATTTGTTTATAAATATAACTTTGTATTCATGACTCAATTGAATACATATCAACTTGTTCTCGTCGCCATATGGCTGAAATAATTCTGATGCGACATTACATTTTAACTCACTCACTCACAACATTTCTTTCCTGTTAACATAAAATTATGCAAATCTTTAATCTCTTTTACACTGGAACACTCATTAATTTTGGCACAGCCTCAGAGATGTGGAAGGGGACATAACTTCAGCGACATTACCTCCCTTTGTCTGCAGCACTTTTTCCAAATAAATGCCAACATATTTCACAGCCGAAACAACTCAATCTCCGATTTTATTCAGTAACATATTCTCAACAGGCAATTATCACACAGTAACATGTCACATAAATCACAGACCTTAATATTCCTCATCCAACAAACGGCGTAACAATCCATCTAATGCAAATAACTGTTTAAATGTTCTAATTACTTGTTTGTCTATTGCTACTTGTGTTATGCTTTTACCATTATTATATTGCAGGTACTGTCTGCTACACCACCATGCAATCTGACATAGAATCAGGTGATGTGCTTTTGAAAACATGCAAGAAATGTGATGTTAGCTCGTAAAATAATAAGGGCCTCAAAAAGCAAAATAATAAACCCTAAGCCCTTAAAAAGAGGCATGGTGCTTATTATCTTTAACCATGCTCCTTCCCTGGCCTTGTCAAGATTTGAGGCCATCTTCCATATTCTTCAATTGACAAAACCTCAATCAATCAAATTAACTCACTGCAAGCAATGTAATAATTAAGACTACTGTAATAATCAGGACTTGTGTCATGAATCAGTTACTCTATAATCAATGTACCTAATGACGTCTAATCTCAGCCACATCCCATACACTCCACATTTCATAACCTACATATTACAGAAACAAACACACTCTTACATGCAACATTTCAGCCTCTGAGGACATATACACAGAGATTGTGTTCCTAAGATTCGAAGAACCCAATAAATGAACAATCCAATCATTTCACATAAACAACGCATCTACGTCATTTGATCTATACTTGATGTTATTAAAACCATTATCATCATGGGTTCAAAAACATCTTTTGAAGGATTTGTGAAAATATTACAAATTTCACAATGTTTTTCTTATAATCTCTACTTTGTTTGATTAAAGCAATAAACCGTTCATCAGGATTCTCATCAAGCCACACAAAAGTGATCATCACAAACTCTAGGTGCTGTTTGTGTTTTCAGGATTAGAATCAACTTGTTTGCAAGTCAAAGGTGATGTACTACATATTGGACAAAAGTGTCATATCTTCAGAGCAGAGAAGACCTCCATCCTTTACATCAAATGTCCACATAGATATCTACAGGTTCATCTTGCATGACTAGTCCGCTACATTTAATTGAAAAGTTGGGCTGATAAATAAATAAATCTTAAGGTGTTTTTTTAGGTGTCTTTGATACACATTTTTCCTATTAGCCTGGGGGTGGTGGGGAAGCCTAGACATTAAGACCCGGGTTCTATTCCCCACATGGACAAGTTCGGCTAGTTTGGCAAGGGTGGAAACTGGACTTTTAATAGTCAGTTAACTCATTTGCCTCGGGAAGATGGTTTTTGCTGGAATATTGCTAAAAGCAGAGTAAAGCCCAACTCACTCACTCACTCCTATAGAACCTAAAAGAACACTGTTACTTCAGCTTCCCTTAAAGAAGGACAGGATGATAGGTATTGTGAGAGCAAGGGCACCGTATATAAATGTTGCTGACGCCAGGGAGTTCATCTTCATCTTCCATTCCAGGTTATCCTCAGTTGTCTGTAGAAGTGCCTTCACTTCCGGCCCAACATACACAACACTCGTTCCCTCTTCATCCTTCCGCGACAGGCCAAGTATCTTCTTGATGTCTTTTATTTCTGCATTTAGAAAGGATTCCTGCTTTACCAAAGTTTCCAAAATTTTATCTGTTTGTTCATGGAGGGTGTGTTTATTAGCCATCGGAGCAGGGAGTGTGGCTCTCACAGTGGAGATTCCTTTCTTGTCAATGGCCGATTTTAGATCTGTCAGAAAGCTGTCAAAGGTATCAAACTGGGTTCTTACCGCACTACACAGCTGGAGTGATAGATCTTTCAACTCCTCGTTACTGGATACAGAAGTGTGTACAATTCCTTTCATCTCTTTCATTCTTAGATAATTATTGACAGTTGACCCAGTGATACCAATAATTGCTCCAATGATTGATCCGATTATTGACCAATATTTTGTTTTCTCTGCTTGAGCCCGTTCCTTCTCGTGACCTTCACGAACTGCAGCACTAAGGAGGGAAAAATACTCTCGTTCCTGTTTTTCTAGGTTTCGTATATCCTCGAGCATCTGGTGCTCTTCTCTTATTATGGAGTGCTCCATTTTGACAATGTCAAGATAACGATCATCAGATTTGTTTGTCTTGTCAAGTTCTGCACTGACCGATTTCAGCCTTGATTGGATTGTTCCAAGCTCTTGTTGTTTTGCACGCCGTTCTTCTTGAGATGACAAGAATCTATTTTCTCTCTTAAAAAACAAAGAAAAATTACTCAATAATAAACTGAAATTAAATATTTCGTAATTCACATTAATAAAGAAAATTTGTTCTATTTAGAAAATGACAAAAATATATTTTGCTAACTCAAAATCAAAATATATAATGTAGATAAACTTTTAGCAGTTAATGATTATACACTGAACATGATACAACGTCTATTATGTGCAGTGCTTAGAACTTATCACATATAATTGTCTAAGCCCAGTTCTGTGTGTTTTTAAATCAGGCATGAAATAATTTCCGAGTGAGACGTCACATGCCTGATTCACTTCTTACACAGTCCGTTCATGTGCTTTTCATCTGTTTCATTTTGGACAAGTCATACACATTTAGATAACAGAACTTTCAGTGGTCACTGGAGCAGAAAAATGCTCTCGCGGAATAAGGCGAGCACAGCCTATAAGCTCGGAGGTTATTGGTTATTCTTTACAAACAAAGCTTCAGAACGTATGACTTCTTGTCCCTATAATCAGGGGGAAAGGATGGCCCAGGCACCTAAGGCACAGTGCAGAGTTTTGTTGCTTTGTATGTTAGGAACCTAATTTAGCAGGGCATGGTATTATTCCATTAATAGCATCTAAACTCTTCGGCCATGATGCCAAGGCTTCAGACCTCAAATCTGGTTTGTGGTCCAAATCCCATCAGAGGGACTCGGAAATTTCATGGCCACTACACTAATATTATGGGTTTGTCAGATCCATACTTGTACTTGTTGGTTTTACCAAAATAGAACTGTGTATCTAAATCCTGCATCACTTGAGGCTTTCCACCCATATGAAACTGACACACTGACATAACTAAGACTAAATGAACTCTAGATTATTCTAGAAGTTTTGGCACCAGTCGACATGATGAATAACTTCATACAAACCTGCAAGACATTGTTCTGCGCTTCCTTAACAAGAGTGAGTCCAACAAAATCTTCATATGTCTGCATCCAGGAGTTTACGAGGCCCTCTACTTTTGTTTGCCCATTGCCACTACCAGTTTGTATGCGGTGCTTCCGCATGCATAAACTTGGTTTACACAGACAGAAACGCCCCGCTGTAAACAGTCTGCCACTTGAAGCACACAGCCGATCCATGAGTGGTTATACTGATAGCATCAGCTATTACAACAGGCTTGTGGTGAAGTGCAACACCTTCGCAATGACTGTAAAGAAGAGTATTCTGATAAAACAGTTCTACAAGCATGACAGCCTGACAAGTAGATGAGAGTTATCCTTCCGTAATTGTGAAACCTGTACTGTTTTCGGTTCTTCGTGTTGATTTGTCTGTCACTTGATTCAGCCAATCATATGGTACAATTTTACAACCGGTTTAGTTTATTATTTCATAGACGTCGCTGTTGTCAAAATGGCGCTAAAAGTAAAACTTTTTGAGAAACGTGACTGAGAAGGGCACATCATTCCTGCATATTCCCATTTTGACAGAGCTGTAGTTCATCAGTGTTTTTATAAGAAGTCTCCTTCAAAGATTCCATGTAAGTTATTATATTCCAATGTCTCCTTTAATAATTTTGATGTAGACATTGTTCAGATTTCGATACCCCAATTACCAGCTGATTACAGACGGTGACAGTGTAGTGTTGGTACAGTTGAAACAAGAAAATAGTGATGCAAAGCATTAAAATCTAGCGACAAATAGGCATAACTATATATATGTAAAGGATCACTAGGCTCAATATGGACTGATTATTCGGTGACAATGTGCTGACGGCAATGCAACCAGTCATCAGCTGGTGAGTTGGGTGAATAAAATTTTAACTTCGCATCGGCATTATTTCAGCGAAGAGTTATCAGCTGGTAATGGGTTATGGGTTATGAACATGATATAGTGTCAAAGAGTATCTGTAAAGGGGCACTAATCTCTTCTTTCCGTCTGTCTAACACTCCCCGCTATGCCTCACTTGCTGCCGTGAGTCACTTTGCTCGCCATCTCAACTGATGGTGACAAGTGACAGGGCTACCGTCTGTAAGGACAGCTTTAGTGAACTTTGAGGCATTACTAATACACATTTCTGAACAGTCATTGATTACCCATTATCTATGAAGATTTCGATATGACAGAGGCGCATGGTAATTAATTTTTTCAACCTACACAAACGGACAAAGGGAATGGTGGAAGCTCATCAGGATGTCATCGTATGTCGTTATTTGGAAATACCCAATGGTTATAGTTTAATAAAAAAAACGTATCCCTGCATTTTCGCATTTCAAGATTGCTTGGATAATAAGATTACTACTCCCTTGTCATCCGTGTTCCTTGGTATGACACTACATCTGTGTACTTGTCATCATTCACTTGATGCTCGGTTAATGAATTTATTACGGGTATAATTAGTGGTAGCATTCACTCAACATGCTCAAAGTAAACCAATACATGAAAATTATGAAGTATGGGACTAGATTATTATATTTCAAACTGATATTCTTTTTTGAAACATATTTATGATTATCAAGTGTCCTGGGCTGATAAAGGTATTGAATGTTGGGCTTTTCATGTAAAACAATTATTATCATCATATGGTTTTGATTCTGTCTGGTGTAATCAAAATGTTCCAAATGTAAATAAGTTTATTGTTTGTTTTAAGCAAAGATGTCTAGATATAGATCAGCAAACTTGGTTAAGTAAATTAAAAACATTTTCCAAACTTACAATGTATTCACAAATTAAACCATGCATTGTATTAGAAAAATATTTAACATCAATACCTGTTAGAGTATATCAATTTGCTCTTAGTTCTTTCCGTTGTTCTAGCCATAACCTTTTGCTTGAAGACTCTTACGTCTTGCCAAAATGAACATGTTATTAATAAATTAGCTAAATATATTTTTCTTGCTTTTAAGAAACGATAACAGTTTTTCAAATGTATGCAATAATTCAGTTGTTTCACTATGTATATCACTTATATTATCTGGCGTCTGCTATTGTTGTAATGCACTGTGTCCATATTGTATAATGGGCCGGTGGCCTCATTACTGAAATAAACTCACTCACTCACTCAGATTACCTGCCAAAGGTTCCCATTTGGCATTTCTTGTGTCTGGGGTAATTACTGAATCTAAAAATTCAGGTCTGCAGTGGGGTGAAATGTATGTAATGTAATATGCACTTGACAGCACAGCAAGAGAAGAATGATCAGTTGAGTTACAAAAAAAACTTCCATCAAAGGATTAACCGAAAATATGGTCACGTGGCTTCTGTGCATCTGCACGGACCAGGGGTATGTTTGGGTGAGATGTTTCCACTACCTTTCGGAAATGAGATAAGATAAGCAATTATATGAATCAGGATAAAAGAAAAAAAGAATAGATGATATTTTTATCAAACCTAATGTAAAGGATAAGACGTGTAACAATGGTTTCCCTACTAAACCAGTGTTCGAAATCAAGGGCGTGTCTTCACCTTTGGCATCTGAACCTAGAGACCCCCAAATCTTTAACTTTCCAAGTGGGATTTTGACAAGGACACCTTGAATTACATGCTTAATTTTGAACAAAGTAAACATGACGCTATAGAGCTTTGACATGACATTAATTATGTTATTGTTATGGTTATTGTTTTCTGTCTGATCGTTTGAACCCATGGCTACCAGCTACCATCAATTCATTATGTGCAGAGCATTTGCCTGGTGATCGGAAGGTCTCTTGTTCGATCCCCTGCCTGAGTCATACCAAAAGATGTTAAAAGATGGTACTTGTTTTTACCCTGCCTGTACTCAGCATTAAGGGGCAAAAACAAGGACTGGTCCGATTGGAGTCGGTATACTGTGTCTGAGTGGGGTACTCAGTTAAACTGCGGCATGGTTTCTCAGTGGACAAGCGCAATAAAATCGACATTAGTCCGGAATAGTACAAGTAGCCACACACACAAGTGCATGAATGTCGCTATAAAAAGTGCAATAATCTTGGACACAACATTAAACCCCATTTCACCTCACCTGAATGTGACATTTAACCCAAAATTACCTCACAGCTTCGTTTCAATCAGTATAAGACAATGTAGTGGTATTGTGACAAGAGATTTTACTGGAGCTTCTATCAGAAACCAATATTGTGAAAATTAGATCTCATAATATATTCCACTGCCGTGCTGACAGCTTGGGTTTGATTCCCCACATGGATACAGTGTTTGAAGCTCATTGGTGGTGCTACCCCTCCCTTATATTGCTACAAGCAGCGTAAGACCCAACTCACACTCACTCACTGTTCTGTGTCGTGAAGATCCGGGGTAGAATAGGTCTTCAGCAACCCATACTAGCTGTAAAAGGTAACTATGCTTGTCGTAAGAGGCGACTAACGGGATCGGGTGGCCAGGCTCGCTGACTTGGTTGATGCATGTCATTGATCATTGCGTGGATAGATGCTCATTATGTAAATCACTGGATTGTCTGGTCCAGACTCAATTATTTACCGACCAGTGTCATATCGCTGGAATATTGCTGAGTGCGGCGTTTAACAACAAGCAAACGGACACTGTACTGTGCTCAACCATTCAGGCCCATTTCCTTTTTTTTGTTGTTGTTTAACACCGCTCTCAACAATATATTGCTATAATAACGGTGTTCTGTACATAATTGAGTTTGGAGCAGACAATGTAGTTATTGATATCAACCAAGTCAGCGAGCCTGACCACCTGATTCCATTATTCGCCTCTTACGACAAACAAGGGTTGCTGAAGACCTTTTCTAACCTGGATCTTCACGGGTTCCCCCTTTCCTAGTCGACTGACTGTGGCAAATACTACCCTAGTGTAATGCCTGTATCAAGTTTAGTGTTACGACCAAGGTTTAAATCAATTCCCCATCTTTCGAGATAAACTGCTTAAAATGTCAGAAATGCCTGAAGTGTCATATAATCTTCCTATTTTCACTGCAGCAATAGAGACTACAAGTGTCTTGTCAATATAAGTTTCTTAATGCATCAACTTTTTGATCTTTTAGAAACTATTAAGCCTGTAAAGTCTCTATATTATTATTAATGTATATGAGCCTTTCCAGCTTCAGCAATATACAGATTGGTACTAATGTATAATTATTATCTTTTATCGCTGCTCACCTCACTACAAAACAGAGGATCTAGGACTTGAAGGTGAAGAAAAGTATACATGTTCCCTTCTTACTTTACTTGATGAAATGGGGGCAGTGGGGTAGCATAGTGGTTAAAGTGTTTGCTAGTCATCCTGAAGACCTGGAGACCTGGTTTCAAATCAGATTTAATCCCCACATGGGTACAATGTGTGAAGCCCATTTCTGGATTGATATTGCTGGAATATTACCGGTACTAAAAGTGGCGTAAAACCCCTACTCTCTCGAGCACTCACTTACTAGATGTAATATACCCGAGGCTCGATTTATATAAACATGCACCAGTGAAACCTGTTATTGAAAAATGTAACCTAACATTTATGTAAACGTGCATTAAGTGCATGTAAAAAACAATTCAGATTTTGTGTCTGGCTGACTTTTGTCCACACAACATTAATCTTTGAACACATTCAATACCTGTTAAGTATATTTACCCTACTGCATCACTAATCCCAACGTTAGGTGTAATTTGTCATGCCTTGTGGGCTTAACATAATCAAACTGTGGGTACTTAAAGATTTTGTGCACGTTCCTATTGCATTTTACTGCAATACGTCATTAATAAAAGTGATTATGTTTGATTATCTTATGGGAGCATGGTTTTTGTCTGGTGCAACTGGGTTTTCATGTCAACATGCACCTAGTACAAGTTAAATGAATTTCCTTGCATTGAGCCCTGACACCATAGTTCAACCAAACATTCATGATTTATGTGAAACACGTCCGTCAACATTTGGTGTACACAGATGCCTTAGAAGTAAAATCTAAAAAATATCATGCCTCCCTTTTCTCATATCTGAATAGTTAGGTTGAAATTTAATAATTAATTTACTGTAGCTTGTCCGTGAAGCAATATCACTATAGGACTTCTTAGTGATGTTACGATGAATGTCAATAATCAAGCTAATTGGTTACCCAGTATTGATGCAATGTTATTAGTGTTGAAAATGAAATTCTTGACAAGGCGACTAACAGAATAAGGAGTTACGCTCCCTGGCTTGGTTGATGCATGTCTTGGAATCGTGAAGATCTGGGGTAGAATAGGTCTTCAGCAACCCATACTTGCCGTAAAAGGTAACTATGCTTGTCGTAAGAGGCAACTAACAGGATCAGGTGGCCAGACTCGCTGACCTGGTTGATGCATGTCATTGATCCCAATTGTGTAGATTGATGATCATGATGCCAGTCACTGGATTGTCTGGTCAAGACTCGATTATTTATAGACAATCTGAGTGCAGCATTAAACAACAAACAAACTGTATATAGCTATGTATTAACAAGTCTTTTGAGATATAGAATCAGGAGGGAGGTTGTGCATGTATGTGTCTGTCTGTGGTAGGGTGGTCAGGCTCGCTGATTTGGTTCTGCATATCATTGTATCCCATTTGTGTAGTTCGATGCTCATGATGTCAATCACTGGATTGTCTAATCCAGGCCCTATTATTTACAGACCGCATCATATACCTGGAATATATTAAATAACAAACAAACAATAGTAACTGTTGCCATCAGTATTCAGCATACATAATTAATACTTATTATATTAAACAATAATAAAAACATTATAATTCATGTTATATATTATGAATAATAAAAATAATTTGCCGTACCTCGATCTATGAGTAATAATTATACCTTTCAATGATCAGCTGGTACTTACCTGTAACAGGCACAGGTGGGTGATTATACCTATTAAAGTCATTGTTACCTGCTGATGCTACCTGAGGGCCTTGAGGAAGTGGAAGGCATTCGATTGTAAGCTAATTATAGGGGTGGCCTCGGGGATTATATGATAGAAAAACAACATTGGTGTCAGGATATGATGCAGAAAATTCGGGGCAAATTAACAATACTGCATCACTAGTGATAACTTACTGTCAGTCTGAGTATTTCACTATATATCAGTAAACACATGTACTGCTAAGGTAATATGAAATAGGCTCTTTAGAAAGCTTTTATTTAACCTCAAACGAAGACCATCATTACCAGTACAGATGCCTGTAAACACTAGCAGCCGATGCATCATCCTCGATTATACATCCAGTGTATAATATTTCCCTTCTATTTTGATACATTCCCTTGACCCATTCACCATAGTTCATTTCAGAAGTGACATCACCATTTCCTTCTCTCCTATCCGTAACCTAGCACAGAATTTCTCTAATTTGTGAGATGGGGCAGTGGGGTAGCCTAGTGGAAAAAGTGTTCGCTTATCACGCCAAAGTTAACATGGGTACAATGTGTGAAGTCCATTGCTGAATTTTTTTTTCAAGCAGCATAAAACCTCACTCACTCACTCACTCACTCACCCACTCTCACCCACTCTCACCCACTCTCACCCACTCACCCACTCACTCACTCACTCACTCACTCACTCACTCACTCTCAGCCACCCACTCACTCACTCATGAGTGGATGCCTAATTTTAGTGTTGTGCTTTTCGAATCCGGCTCATAACGAAGCTAAGGCAGGAAAAAGGGTACATGTATTTATGATGATTGAATTGAGATGTAATCATCTGGATAATTGAGGACGCCAATGTGTGTGCTACAAACTAGCTGCGGTCACCAAATTTGGATTCTATTAGAAAAACACTAATAGTCAATGGAACAGCCCATACTCTGTGTAGCCACAAGTCATGTCATAATTGTTACAGTTACTGCTGCTATTACAAAACTTAACTGAGGATAGGATGGGGATAGCATATTTCCTGCCCTAGCGTTTCGATTGATGCTTATGCTGTCAGTGTTTGGTTTGTCTAGTCCAGACAAATGTTTCCGGTCCACAGGGATACATATTTGAAGTGAGTCATCTTGTCTGAGTGGTGTGGTTAATTGTTCGTACTTTCAGTCACTGGCTTGCATGGTCCATGGTGGTGTAGCTGGACATTTGCTTGCTGCTCTATCTGTGTAGACAACATTCTACGGTACATTCACTTGTTCAAGTAGTGGGCAATTAACTGTCACATTTAACTGTGCAGTGTTGGGTCCCTTTGAAGAGCCAGAAATCTTTCCTCATCAAGGACACAGGTGGCCGAGTTGTCTTAGGTGCTGCAATTCGCTGTGTAGACTTTCGTCCCTTGGGCATGCCTGAAACTCATGATCGTGGGTTCGAATCCCGGTTCACCTGGATTATGTTTCTTGGTTTGTCAGCACCATACCCATCCTCATGGGTTTCGCTGAAGTGGTAAACGTCTGAGAAGTTGCATTAAGCCCATTCACTCACTCACTCACTCACTCGAGGCAGTTGAGTAGCCTGGTGGTTAAAGCATTCGCTTGTCCCGCCAAAGACCCAGGTTCGATTCCCGACATGGGTACAATGTGTGAAGCCCAGTTCCGGTGTCCCCCTCATCGTGATATTGCTGGAAAATTGCTAAAAGTGACGTAAAGACTCACTCACTCACTCACTCCACATGAAGCTGACAGAAAAGGCTTTCCTCCACATCAAGCTGACACACTGTTATATATCTGCCAATAAACCCAATTCACTCACTGCAGTACTAGAGACAAAGAAATAATCTTTGTGATTGTTCCAACATTGTTGTACAGGTAATATCCTGATTATTGAATAAATTACATTACATGAAATGTTTCAAATATTTTATTTAAATTCATGAAATACTCAATTTAATTCATATATTTTTCATTTGATATTTTTATTTTCACATGGACATATGGATTAATTAAATCTTTTGCATTTTCGTGTACTGTGAAACATTTATTCAAGACATGGAATGTAACGGGGTACATTTTACACTTGGCAATATCATGTGCTAATTAATATCTCAGGTATTTAACATTGTTATAATAAATAATGCCTCATGGAATACATGGCCATGTTGCTTGGCATAAAGTCAATCTTCTCTCTTTAATAACTTGACAGTCGTCATGGTTACATGATTTATTGAGTTTATGTGAACCCACACTGCAAAGTGTCTCAACATGATCGTATCAGGGCTTATCTTATTATCTTCTTATTATCTATTATTGTAGTCACCAAAAACAGCGTTGCATGATCTTTGAGCATAAAAAAGAAATAGCGGTACAAATGTCTTTTGACATCATGTCACATCTTAAAAAGGAAAATCTAAAATAAATGAAGATGAAATCACAGATATGATATTTTATGAACATTCACAACCATTTTGAAACCTTTTTTTTTCATAAATGTTATATACATATATGTTGTATAAAAATATATACAAGAAGTGGTGTTTATGCTGTTGTAAATAAGTTTGTTTGTTTCTATGTATTTTTGTGGAATAAAGACTACAAACAATTTGATTTCTATTTTAGGCTTTCGGCATGAAACATTCAAGGCCTATCTCAATGAAAATGATTCACTTTTTCAAGTGATTTCTTCAGAAATCTGTTTGTAGTTTGTTTTATCGTAAATAATGAAGCTGTTAAAATGTTTTTGCCAAGTTATATGTGCAAGCAGTGATATGTTTACTGGTAACATTTCTTAAAATCTAGAAAATAACATACTGTATTTGACGTAATAAACGACCGCTCTAATAAGCGCCCACGACGATATTTGCTAATATATTGGCTAGTGAACAATCCCAATTAGCACCCCTTCCGATTGATCAATGTACACAAGACTTATTTATGCGCGTATAATACGCACTCGTGTGTTATATGCACCCTTAATTATGGGCAATTAAATTCTGGAAAAATATATCTGTCGTATATAACCATTTCAGTCTGTCAGCATAAACCACAAAATGTATCTTTCAACTCTGTTTATTTTTCACCAAAATAATATTCTAATAAGAGCCCCCTATTTCTAATTTTGAGAGAGCCCTGGGCGCTTATTATGTTGAATACGGTAACTAAACATATATGCAGTACCAAGATAAAATAGGTTGTGATGTATAGACACTTGTCCTTAATTAATCTGTGTTTTATGTACAGAAATATCAACTCTTCCTCAAACCACCGACTTGGCCATTTTCACACATTTGTTTGGGGGACCTTTATGTCCCAAAACTAGTTGTTTGGTGAGTAGTAGAATTTCACCATTACTTTCATGTTGACAGAATGAGGACTGCACAATGGAAAACATACCTAGCATTAAAAGTCACAAGTTCTATTGCAGGTTGTTAGAAGTCGGGACATCAGTACTGACCAAAGGGTTTTGAATGATCAAATGTTTGGCAGTTACTGGAAGATCCATGCACAGCCATGATGGATGAAACAACATTTGCATGTCGTGTTCATTTTATCCATTTTATCAGATAGGGATACGTTACTTAGATGTATGTTTTCGTCCCTTTTTATTTCCATTTGAGCTCACATCAGAACTAACTAGCTATCAATGCGATATAAGATATAAATATCTAGATCACTTGTGCAGTCCATGGCCAATCTGAGATAATATTCGCAGTCAACTACTGTTGTTTAAAGCTGGAAGTTGCCGTTGCCTTGCCGGGGACCAGTCCTGCTTGAGAAATCGGAGTACCGGTCGACATCAGGCTGCATCTCTGGCACTGTGACGATGGGCTTGATTGGCACTGAGTGCTTGGAGAGTGTGTCCCCTGAGTAGCCATTCAGTTCAGCTGGAAAAACAACATTGTTTCCATTAGAGGAGTGGTTGGTCTTTATACCAGGACGAAGAGCATGTGACATTATACATGTTATATCATGACAAGGAGTGGTTGGTCTTTATAGCAGAATGAAGAGCATGAGACATTATACATGTTATATCATGAGGAGGATTGGTTGGTCTTTATAGCAGGACGAAGAGCATGAGACATTATACATGTTATATCATGACGAGGAGTGGTTGGCCTTTATTGCAGGGCGAAGAGCTTGAGACATTATACATGTTATATCATGACAAGGAGTGGTTGGTCTTTATAGCATGAGGCGTGTTTAGTCTTTATATGTGTTATATCATGACTAGGTGTGTTAGGTCTTTACACGTTATATCATGACATATGATAAGGTGAGTTTTTCTTTTCTTTATACATCTGATTACATGACTGGGAATCTTTCACTCTATATCATGGCTAGAGATGTTGGTCTTTGAACATCTTGTATCTAGGCTAGGGATGCTTGGTCAGTTAACATCTTGTATCTGGGCAAGGAGTGTGTGGCTTTTATCATGTTTATACCACAGTTTGGAGTGTTTGGTCTTTTAGTCATTTTATATTACGACTGAGACAAACAGAGATACTCACATTTTGTGACTGTGCCCGTTGTGGAATAGATTTCAATCTTCGCCCTCTTGGACGCAAGGAAGAATGCAAGTACAGCTAAAACCGCTGAGTCGAAGATTCCCAGGATGGCAAGGATGTAGGCCCAGCGGATGCCGCACTCGCCGAGACGGTACTCGTCAGCAGAGCTGCCACAAACCTTCCGGACCTCTTCGTGATCCCAACCGCTGGGGAAGATGACACAGGCCAGGAACATGAACACCGCTGAAAGAGAAGGACATAGATGAGTTACTGTTGCCTATATATGGCCATCTGTGTTTATGATTTGTCATGTCAAGACTAAGAGGAGGACGTGGATGAGTTACTGTTGCCTATATATGGCCATCTGTGTTTATGATTTGTCATGTCAAGACTAAGAGGAGGACATGGATGAGTTACTGTTGCCTATATATGGCCATCTGTGTTTATGATCTGTCATGTCAAGACTAAGGAGGACACGGATGAGTTACTGTTGCCTATATATGGCCATCTGTGTTTATGATTTGTCATGTCAAGACTAAGAGGAGGACGTGGATGAGTAACTGTTGCCTATATATGGCCATCTGTGTTTATGATTTGTCATGTCAAGACTAAGAGGAGGACGTGGATGAGTAACTGTTGCCTATATATGGCCATCTGTGTTTATGATTTGTCATGTCAAGACTAAGAGGAGGACGTGGATGAGTAACTGTTGCCTATATATGGCCATCTGTGTGTATGATTTGTCATGTCAAGACTAAGAGGAGGACGTGGATGAGTAACTGTTGCCTATATATGGCCATCTGTGTGTATGATTTGTCATGTCAAGACTATGAGGAGGACATGGATGAGTTACTGTTGCCTATATATGGCCATCTGTGTTTATGATTTGTCATGTCAAGACTAAGAGGAGGACATGGATGAGTTACTGTTGCCTATATATGGCCATCTGTGTTTATGATTTGTCATGTCAAGACTAAGAGGAGGACATGTAAAATCAATGTATGTACAAATACATTAGGGAATGGGCCATCTAAGTTGGATAACTTTTTCCCAATCCCATTGACCATATATGTCAGTAAAATATAACAACATTAGGGTTATGACAAGGGCCCCTTGATGACCATGCTTAATTTCGAAACACTGTATCTAATTACTCACATCATCCCTACGGACATACAGGCATACCTAATTACATCGTTAAAGGTGTGTGAAGGTAGTGATATGATTACAGGAATTGATACAGGGTTTGATCCCTGGCCGCATCATAACAAAAGACATTAAAAGATGGAACTTGTTGTAACCCTGTCTGGCGCTCGGCATTAAGGGGCTAAAACAAGGACTGGTCGGCTCGGAGTCCGTATACTGTGTGTGGGTTGGGTATTCATGTTAAATTGCGGCATGGTATCTCCGTGGGCTGGCACTATGAATCGGTATAATTACAGACTAGTACAAGCAGCCACATGCATGATCAAGCACAACCTAATATAAGTGCAAAATCTTGGACACAACGTTAATCCCCAATTCACCTCACCTACTGCTGTGAACAGGTTTGGATTAATCCTCCTGTCTGGAGACTTGCATTAATAGCAGTTATATAAGTTTTACAATAGGCAGGTAATTAAGTATACAGGTATTTACCTGTAACGACCACAGGTATGTGAATACACCTGTTGTTACCCTCTTGCTATCCGAGAGGATTGGGCCTTGAGGGTGTGGAGTGCTTTTTATTGTAAGCTAATTGAAGGGGTAGCCTCAGGGATTATACAAAAGAAGAACAGCTTGGGGTCAGGATTTTATGTTCCCTTATCAATAATACTTTTATTTGTATGGATGGTGTTTAGCTATCTTCAAGGGGCCTTCTAATTATAAGTGTATTTTCTTTGATGTTTTTGTAAGATTGGACAACTGTCCTTGTTTTGTATTTTGTACACATGTTTTAATTGTTTTGATGCCATATGAGAGATTAAATAAAAACAACAGATTGTTTCATAATGTATAGGTGTTGAATAAAAAATTCAGATATGTTCTCATTTGTATGATAGATATTTAAATAAAAGATGTCACTAAAAATTCAACTTCTGGTTAAGTCATTCGATCATCTTAATATTACTTTGTTGTCATGGAAACCATTCCATCCATCATACAAGTTTTATCATCCCAAACTGGCTCCGACAGGAGATATCCTTGGGTGAGATCAAGCAATATCTATACTGTAGATATCGCTGCAATGAAATTTCATCACAATGCTTTGCAGACCATTGTGACGTCATTGGTTACCATGACGTCACAATCAAATGACATCACTAATGGCTGTGCTACTGAAGCTTTTAGCAGTACTTTTTACACTTAAGACACTGCTTTTAACTTTCTACAAACTGAAAAAGTTGGAAGAATGATGTTGGATGATAAATAAAATCTCACCCTCGTGTCTTTTGATATCAAGCCTCGGAGTTTTCCCACTTTTATCAACTCGTGTTGATATATTTGATATCAAAAGACACTCGGGTGAGATTCTCTATATCAACATCACAGATATACAATTTGAAGTAAAGCATTCACTGGCATGGACAGTGATAACATAAGGGCACCTGCTAAAAGTCTGAAACTCTCCTAGCCCCAGAATACCTTTGACTTTAGACAACTGACTGCAGGTGTTTGGACTTGAGGCAGACAGGGATGACATCTGATAATAAAGTTATTATGTCCTTATAATTTGGTTCATTGTGCCGGTAGTGTTCATGCTATCAACCACTGGTTTGCCTTGCCCAGATTTATTCACAGCCCTGTATAACGTTGTTATTGATGACATTGACTCACTCACTCACTCTGTTTCTCTTTGGATTGTTGAAGAGATTCCTGAGTCTCCTATGAGGCTGTATGACATTCCTCTCAGTGACCACGCCTATTAATAGCCTGTGTGAGGTGGTATAACCGCCTACCCCTGTCTTGACATTGCTTAGTATGTCATGTTTTGGGCGGGTTTATCTTCAGGAATGGTTCCTGTGTTTGTCTAGTGTTCCATGACGGTGAACCTGTAGAATGTTATACTCTCATGCCTCAAATATCCTCTTTGGAAAGATTATTTGAAATTTTAAAAAAAATAAGATGAAATCATGAATAGATGGTATCACTAATACTATGGTTACTGATTTTAAGGGGGAAAAATCCCTAAATTTTGGGGAGTGCAAAAAGTAAACACCATTACAATTAGTCTTTCTGATTTGATTTTAGTGTTCATCCTTAATTTTGTGCTGGGAATTTTTAAACATGCCAGCATTCATTATATGATAAGAAAATGATTCATTTACAAAGCATATATTCAATAAAACAGTAGTTTTACTCCTTTTTAAAAGGATATCTAGTATATGCTCCATGTAGTTCTGCCAAAAAATAAATTGTTTTTTCATTAAATGAAAAATCCATCATAAAATGAAAAATATGAATTTCAATATTTCAGCATTTCTATCTTTGGGCACATACAGCTTGATGAGCAAAGATTCATTCAGATGGCATACGCTTGATATCACATGCTGTCATGGTTGAAATGGTCACAGATTGTGCTCCTCACATCTGGTCAGCCATGATCAGCTCTCTGCGACAGCGGTATGTTGTGTGTCTTGTCCTTCCAGTTGGGCGTTAAGAATGCAGTTAGGTGTGTTGTATGACATACCAGGTCATTGTATGCATGCTTGGTACATCCATAAATATGACAAACTATATTCGCTGATTCAGCCTTTAACTTTAACCTGTAGTCCAAAGCAATCGTACCGCCAAGATGATCGTAACTCCCATACTTTAACATAGGCTTACGACAGTGGTAGAGCTACGATCGCTTTGTGGAACGGGGCCCAGAGCCTATACAGTTTATTTATCTAGAAAGCTCATGTATAGAATAAATAAAATAAATTAGGGTGGGTGTTGTCCTAGGATCTTTTCTGCTTTATGATGTAACTCTAGAAATATAGATATGTAATTATGACAAGAATGCCTGTCATGCTTAATGTGAACACTGAACCCTGAATCCTTAAATATTGTACCTAAGATAAACTAATGATTTATAATGCTTGACAAGGGGATGATCTGTGACTGTGGTAAAAGGTTTTTTTCCCTTCTAACATTAATCATTGAAATTGATCGAGGTATTCAGGAATACTGCATTTACAGGACTGCTGTGAATGGATAAAGTGTGGTTGCCGTCGACATTTGTACTTAACATAACAAGAAATCCTTGACACAGAACATGCAAAGTATTTACCAAATTTGAACAAAGTAGGTATGGCTCTGAAAGTTTTTGTCATAACAAATGTGGATGGTTATTTTTTTAGGCTTAAGTTACAATACACTACTAATTTGGGGTGAAACGATACAGCAAGGACCATGATACGTTACATATCATGATACATGGGTCATGATACGATACATATAGCGATACATTGGTCATGATACGATACATATTGCAATACATGGATCATTATACATAATGTGATGCACATATTCATGTCAAATTGCATGGAAACTTATTGAATATAAATATTTCAGAGCAGGTTTCAGAAATGTGATGCATCTAACTATTTGATTCGCATTCTAGAAGTTGGTGAGTAAATAGATTCCAACACTGTCATCAACATGATCAATAACAATCTACATTGAAACATTGCTAATGCAATAAGCTCGAAGTAGTTGTCCTTTTAAGTTGTGTTTTCATATCTTCATGCATCATTGTACTACAGGTTTTCCTCAAGAAAACAAGCAAAATAATTTATTTTAGTAGTGTATCATCTTGTATCAATAAAACATGTATCATGTTTTGTAGCAGTGGGACGAGACGCAAATGCATTGGTGGATTGTGATTTTTCACTTCTCAATACAAGTATCGATCACAATCACACTGAGTATGAAAGACCGATTCTTACCTCAAATGTATTCTTTAATAAATGTTACACCAAACACTAATTACCAGTGAAAATGAGTAGTGAAAACGTAAATATTTTTAATCCATTGCACGATACTTGATACTGCCAACTGTAAATCGTTAGTGTGCCAGCTATTTGGCCATCCTGTCTATGAAAAAGATGGCTTAGGCACCACAGATAAAAGCACATGCAAGCATCGTGATACAAATCAGATCGTGAGCAAGATAACGTAATACGTATCAGATTGAACAGTTGGTGTTTCGTCCCAGCCCTAGTGTTTTGTATCATGACATGAAAGTTCAACGTGCACCGGTGTATCATCTCACCCTA